ATCGGTATCTTCTTCTTCCTTTTAACTCTTTCTTTTTCATATCTTTTTTTTAGAACCACGATAGAGAAATTGACAATCTTCACCGCATGAAGAAATTTGTCATGTTTATCGTCATTAACGTGTACAATAACAGTGTACACTGCAAAGCAAACGATGATGTTGGTGTACAAGAAAGAATATGGGCTGTTATAAAATATGGTGTATGAAGACGGTGTACATGGTAGAATAGGTGGTGCTATTAGTGTACGACAACCCGTGTACATGGTAAAATATGTGATGGTGTACACGGCAGAGTAGATGATGGTGTTGGTGTACGATGACAGTGTACAAGGTGGAGTAAACGATGGTGTTGGTGTACGAGACAACATATGTGGCGTTGTAAAATATGGTATATGCAACAGTGTACATAATGGAATAGGTGATGGTGTTTGTGTACACGGTGGAATCGACGATTGCGTTGGTGTACGAAGATGATGCATACGGCGGAGTAGATGATGGTGTTGGTGTACGAGATGAAATATGGGAATTATAAACGACAATAGCAAGGATGGTGAATAAGATGATAGGGTCTAGGTCTATGGTATGGGAATTAAGATTGCAACGGCGGAGTAGACGATGGTGTTTGATTTTTTATGTATGTACGTACACACGTACGTCATCTTTCTCTATGGATGTATGTATAACATCCCTATTAATGTATATGTGATTTCGTGAAATGTATGACACTTTGAAACATAATCCATATACACATGTAGTAAACATGACTAATGACATAAGTTTATGTGATTTCGTGTACATGTGGTTGTATTGAGGGTATATGATATTCATACGTGCATATTGTTTACTATTCATGTACTCTCAATTATATATGTACAACGTTCTTATTTTATAGTGTACGTACATAAAACACATGATAATGTACGTATATTTTTTTATATGACGTAAAGCAGACACATTGGTGATATAAAGTATAAGTATTAAATGCAACCCAACCAGACAAAAAGTAAGGGTATAACTGAAAGTACACAGCCATGTACACCGTCCTCGTACACCAACACCATCATATACTCCGCTGTGTACATCGTCGTCTTATATCAACACTATCGTCTATTCAATCGTGTACACCATCATCGTACATTAGCACCATCGCATATTCCACCATGTACACCGTCCTCATCCACCATATTTTACAATGTCCCATATTCTGTCTCGTACACCAACACCATCGTCTACTCCGCTGTGTACACCATCTTTGTACACCAACACCATCATCTACTTCGCCGTGTACAGTGTTGTTGTACATCAATACCATCATATATTCCACTATGTACACCGTCATTGTATACTAACACAGCAAAAAAATATGCTACACCGTACACCGCATCTGACACTGCTTACGTACACCATACTTAACATGGCCAAAAAAATTTATCTATTCATTCCTCAATAAAATTTGTATCTTCACCAACATCACCCTAAACCCTAATTGCCTAATTTTGTATCCTCCTCTTTCTCTCATTTTTCTCCTCTCTCGAATCCTTGACTATTTATTCTACTATGTCTTCCTTCTTCTTTGTCGCCATCGTAATCTCTTCCTCCGTATATTTTTCCTTCTATGTCCTCGTCGCAATCTCTTTCTTCTGATGTGTATTCCTCTTGTGATGTTGCTTTTGAAAATTTAGATATGAGTTATTCCTCTTGTTTTTGGTAAAGATAAACCACTAATTTAGAAAAGTAAAAAAAAGGAAGATCCAGTAGAGAAGAGAGAAAATATGTCGAAATCGAGATGAAAGAGAAAATTAGAGAAGAAGAAAAAAAGATTTTTGTTTACTTTTATTGAATTTTGATAAACAAGAGTTAAAAGGAGCAAGAATATACATATGAGAGAGGAGAGAAGTGAGAGGTGAAAAAAAAGAAAAAGATAAAAAGAGTTAAAGAAAGATTTTATGTTTTGGTTTTTTTCCAAACGTAAAAAGTGATTAGTTGAAAAGTCATATAACCTTAGTTGGCAGAAAAAAAAACAAAAATTGTAGCCTCTTTTGGGTAAAATAATATAATATGTCTCGTGGATCACGAAATAATAGTAGATTATTATTTAGACGTGTACTGTTTAAGATTTCTATGCAGATCTATTGCTGATTCCAAGAGATCACTGAATTCACATATCTACTATTCATTGGATGGATCACCGTGTACTCTCTCTTTGAAGGTCAGCTCTTTGAAGGATAATATAGTTTAGTAAAAAAAATGGATAATAGCTGAAATAAACAATTTTGCTTTTGCTGATTAAAGGTAATTTGTAAGATTGATAAAAACAAGCAAACAAAGATGGCCCAAAAGTTGGAAGCGCAAGGAGGGAAGGAGGCAACCAATGGGACGATGGATCCGAACACGATGCTGTGACCAAGATTCAGGTCGGAGTAGGTAGAATAGGCATTCAATACATTCAGTTTGATTATGTCAGGCCCATCGCAAGAAGTGCAAATGCATTGGGTCTATGTGTTTTAAAAAAATTTTGGCCCGAATTTAAGGTCCTTTTTCAGAATTTTTACTTTTTTTAGATAAATTAAGATCTTTTTTCATTAGATTTATTAAATAAAACCTAAAAAAGTTTTACCTAGCACTGGCCCTACGTCGAGTTGGGCCGGGCCTGCACGGTATCAAAGGCCGTAGTATTGCAGCTGATCCGGTTCCTACACCTTTTTCCTCATCCAATTTTGTTTATACTATTAAATTATATTGCTTGAGTTCGAAGTTATTGACAAATTGATTTCGATCCATGTAGTTTGTGATTAACCATCCAGAGGAGCATCAAGCTTCTGTTGAAGGTTGGTATGGCCCTGGAGGTCTAATACAAGGACTTAAATTCATATCCAACAAGAAGACTTCTGATTTCATTGGATACGATGATGGTAGTCATTTCACTCTCCAAGTTCAAGACAAGAAAATTATTGGCTTCCATGGCTTTGCGGAGACTATGTACATTCTCTTGGAGCTTACTTTGCTACATTGACTAATTCCACCATGTTCACTCCTACCAAGAAGCTATAGGCACTTGGTAGTATAAAGGCACTGCATGGGACGACGGTGCTTACAATGGTGTTAAAAAATATTTATATAGGTTTAAGGCCACGATGGTGTATCAGCGGTTATGTTTGAGTATATCAATGGTTTTCAAGTGGTTATTGGAGATGAACGTGGAAAGATGACTCTACTCGGATTCGAACAGGTACTGATTTATTGCTTGAACTCTACAAAAAAATTTATGGATTTTCATCTCAAAACCAATTGATAACAAATATAGTAATTTTTGTGTTTTTTGTATACTATTTATTTCCTCTTTTTTGTTTAAGTCATATTGGTTTTCATCAGCTAATATTGAATTGTTTTGTGTGGATTCGATTACAGTTTGAGATTAACTATCCAAGTGAATATACGATCAAATATTTGGGAGTGACTCTGCGGTCATTACCATGCTTAGGTTTAAGACTAATAACGAAAATCTAACCCCTTTGGCCTTGAAGCTGGCACATCCTTCGAGCTAAAAGAGGAAGGCAAGAAGGTCGTTGGGTTCCATGGAAGAGCCAATGAGCCGCTTCATCAATTTGGAGCCTATGACCTCCCCATCACCAACTGATCATGACATCTTTCTCTTTGATTCCATCTAATAAGTTACCAAATCTGTCTTATCTGACATCGAAGTTTGTCGTTTGATGTTTCTGGTGACCTTTGAATAAGTTCTACTTTTTACTACACAAGTGTTTTAACTTTTAAGGTTAATTAGCTAAATATTATGTTTTGAGCAAGAAATTATGAAACTAACATGTCCATAAAATAATTTAGATGAGTAGAATAAAGAAGAAATAGTTTGACAAATTTACCAATATTAAATTTAGTAATTATTGCTGATAATAAAAATCCATAAAAATCAGTGGTAAAGAATATGGAAAGTAGGGGTTGTGAAGAAAATAGAAAGTAGAGGTTGTGGTGGATCTCGAAAAGGAAGGAGAAGTACGTATAATTGACTA